TATCTAAAGTCATTTTTTACTTTGTCAAACACTTCCTAGCTTATTTAAAGTCATTTTTGACTTATTTAAAGTTATTTTTTTATATTTATCAAACACTTTCAGAAATCAAAATTTGACTTAAAAGTAGATATGACCAACTTTTAAGCCAATTCAAACACCCTCTCAATCTTTCGGCTTCTGATGTCAGGAAATTACTCTTATAGTAGGAGGTTTACTATGTCCCCAACTCTCTTAAAAAAGTAGACTATCTACTATAATTAGATTAAGATCATAAAAACATAAGCTTGTAATATAGTTAAATCAAATTTAATAAATGAAGTCCGATAAGGGGCCATTTGAAAGTAAACTAAAATCATGCATATTAACCATTACAGATTATTTGTACGAGTATCATCGTATTAATAATACAAGAAATAGTTATACAAGAATTAATTATGCGAATGCATGGCTCATTTGGCTATTGATTTTATGTTGAGATTTTTATATAGAAAAAATTAATAATCAAACAATGTATACAATTATGCTAATTTTAATCCCCTCTAGAAAAAAAATCCCACCTAGTACATATCATGCTTCTTTATTAGGTCTGATAGAAGTACAAAACCCAGCCGATACCATTAGGAATTCATTTTTTTCTCACTCTGTTTGGCGCTCATTTTAAGGTATTAATTAATTTATATTCGATTTACTTAAGATCTATTAAAGGACAAAAATATTTTCTATCCGACTTTTATTTTGGCAAAAATAACACAAATCTCACTAGTTCAAGAGTAAATTACTTTCCGTCACGCGAGTTTTCAACAATTATCAGAATTCGGCCTACAAAGTACAAATACATGTATCTGAATGCACAAGATACATGTATCTCTGATACATAGTGTCAAAATTATGAGTAATTTGTTCTATATACATTGTACCAAAAGTGGATTCATATGTATCTGACTCTCTCGCTTGCCTCTCTCCTATTTTGCTCGACTCTCTCTCTATTTATTTGTATTTCAAAATGTATCTGATATTCCAGATACATGTATCTAGTGTAATTCACATGTATCTGAAATACACAGACTCTCTGGCTCGCCTCTCTACCATTTCACTCGCCTCCCTCTTCTGTCGTCGTTTCCCTCCTCTCTCACTCTCCTCTTCCCTATGAATATGAATTTTAGAGTGCATTTGATAACAAAAATGCATATATCTACGTATATCTAATTTGAAGTTATTAATTTAGTGAGGCAATATGTATTTTTTTCTAACCATAGAAAAAATTAGTAAATATGATAAAAATATTCATGTAATTAAATAGTTATTCCAAAAAAAAGTTCATATACGATATTCAAGAAGCTCTAAGGACCAAGTGTGAAGGACATTCATGTAATTATGCCTCCGGTACAAACTACGCATGAATTGGCCCAAAATAAATTTTGGGTTGGACCAGCCAATGCTTATGCGCCGTGAGACTATTTTGTAGGGGCAAGTGCAAAATTTGTTGGGTTATGAAGGGTGATTAGGGTGTCATACGGAAGCTTACAATTTCCAAATCATATAGTTGATAAATTAGATAACAAAAACTTATACTAAAAATCAAAATATTATTATATCAAAACTAATATAAAGAAAAACATTGAAACTGTTGAGAGAATAAATCTCCCCATAAACAAGACTCTTAAACGACTACATTGTGGATTCTATTGTTATTGTGTTAGAATAAACAAACCTATATTTATAGTGTCTTAAAACCTTTCCTACAAGAAAAAGAGTCCTAAAAGTAGAGAATAAACCAAATATAAAATAATATTATATTTTCCTTTCAAGAAAAATAAAAACATTTATGGTAATGTTTTGTTTTTTCTTTAAGGAAAAATAAATCTTAAATTATGGTAAGAAAATTAAGGCAAAATCCTAACAAAATTGTGTGTGTTTCCTTTTTTTTAAAATCGATATGAGTAATAAACCCATAAAGCGATGGGATATTACATGTTAATGAGTACTATTTATTAATTTGTGTTAATTTGATTGTTACTCCCTCAGTTTCATATTAGATGGACACTTTCAACTTTACACGGTGATTAAGAAATCATTAATACATTGAAAGACTTTACCATTTTGCCCTTTGTTTATATCAATGCATATTAAAATGAGTTACAAAAAATACACCTAGCATATAGGAATGGTTAGTATTGGACTTTAAAATTTGTTTAAACTTCCAAAGGTCATAATTGTAAGGGTAAAATGGGAAAACATTAATTAATTCTATCCTAATTTAGTAAGTGTTCAAGTAATATGTGACAAACATTTTTAGTAAGATGTCCATCGAATATGGGACAGAGGGAGTATGTTTTTAATTTGATATGATTTTTTTGTGAAATATATGTATATTTTTTTGAAAACAGACAAAAAAAGATAGAACAAACAAATTGAAAAGGAATAAATGAATTAAGTTATCTACAATCCCTTTAAATTTTCATACAATTCACGGACAACTCAACCCAATTTTTTAGTTATTGAACATCTCTATTATTTTAAATTTGAATCACTTATTGACTTTTTACTAACATGACATAATGGGCTTAGTAAACCTAGGAATTGATATTGACGCATCAGAGATGTTTTTTAAACCAAATTTTTCCTTTCTTTTTCCGTCACTTTATGTCTTTCTCTTGTTTTTCAAAAAAAACCTTGCGAGTTCAATGACCAAAAATTGGACATTGGTATACTAGGGCCCGTTTTCCACCTTTAGTTTGGGTCATCGGTAGGTGAGTCTACTAAATGCGTTAGTTCAATCATATTAAGTAGGCATTTGGCCATGCTATATCATGATATAAAATCGTGAGATGTAATTAACGTTTGAACATGTGATTTACGTTGATTCTATCTCATAATTTCATATCATGAGATGTGATTCCATATTTTTTAAAAACCATGATATGAGAATTCCATGTCATGATTGGAGATATTTTTAATATAAAAATTGATCCACAAGTTTATATTTTGTTAAAATAGTCTCACATTTATATCTACTAACCATTTATTTCATATGTAAATAAAATTTATAATCACATCATTACTTTTTAAAAAGTCATTTACTCACTTTAACTCACATCAACCGATTGTTGAGTAATAAATTTGTTCTCTTCATTTACTTCAACACCTAATTTATTACTTCTACCATTTTGTATTAATTACAACTCAAAGTAACAATGTTGGTTCTTCTTCTCGGTCACATGATCGAGAAATGCAAGTTCGACGTGGGGAAATTGTTTGTACTATGTGGGAGGATTATATTAAAGACTAGTACACTATAATTTATGTTCAATTTTTTTAATTGAATTAAAGTTTGATAAATTATAGTTAGATGAAATAGTTACTTAAGTATTGAACAAATAGCTTTGTAATAATTTATTATGTGATTTTATAAATTTTTGTTTATTTGGTAAGATTGAATAAACAATTGGGGCTATTTTAATAGTTTTACAACTTATGAGATTCTTATGTTTATGAGAAAATATACAACACAAAAATTCTATATCGCATGTCTAAACAAAACTTCAATTTCATCTCATAATGCCATATTATGATATCATATCATGATACCATATCGCATGGCCAAACGGGCCCTTAAAAGAAAGTGTCGAAAATATTTTTGAATTTGATACAAACTATTAGTTTCGTTTTTAAATTTCTTGAAAATATTTTTTTATTTGACTAATTAAACTTAAATATACCCCAAAATGCATCATAACATAGCAAGTGGTTTCAAACTCTTGTAGGAGCATGTGACTCTTAATAAAAGATCGAGAGATGTGATGAAAACACTCTTAAACTTGACGAGAATTTATGTGTGTATTTCCCTCATGTTGTGAGATATGAGTGTATTTAATTTCAGTTAAGCCATATCCAACCCATCTTTTATTTATTTATTACATATAATTATATATTTTTCTTAAAAATCAACTTCAACTAAATTCTCTATTTTACTTCCGGAGAAAGATTTTTTTCTCCCCTCATATTTTTTAATTCTCCTTTGTTTTCTTATTTCATAATATCAATCTTTTCTTCTTTTCCAAATAATTACCCTAAGTTATTGTTGTAACTTTAAAAATTATTAAAATTACTTATGATCTTATTCCATTTTGAACTATTGCATCAAGTATTTTCGTACTCATTAAAAGTGTAGTTTAATAATTTATCACTATAATATGAAAGTGAATTGCTTGAATTATCATTTAAATTTTGTACATTCCTCATAGTGAAAAATAATTATAATTTTAAATTACATTTTAAATTGGCAAAAATTAAAAAAGAATTGAAAAATTATTAATTCAAGATAGAAGTAGTACACTTGTTAATAACATATTTTTAGATGTTATATTATATTAGAAAATAATTACGAATATTAGAGACTTAGTTAATGATTTATTGGTCTTACATGATTTATAGGAGTAATATTATATAATATAAATAATATTAAAATAATTTAAAATATAAAATATATAATATTAAAATATTTTAAAAATAAAATAGAAAAACCTGGGGTTTCAAAAAAAAAAAATGTTTATAAATAAAGAATATGAATTTTCCAAAGTGTGATCGGAGAGCTTAATTTCTATTTTATATAATAATACTTCATCCGATTAAAAAATAATGACTTAGTTTGATTTGAAACGGAGTTTAAGAAAAGAATTTTTTTTTTTAATCTTGTAGTTCTAAATAAAGTTAAGTCTATCAAATGTACCAAAATACCTTGTAATCATGTGACCTTAAACATATCACGTGGATAATTGAAGTTAAAGTGTTGTTAAAAAAAAAATAAGTCATTCTTTTTGAAATAGAGTAGACGAAAAAGAAAATTTAATCATTCTTTTAGAAACATATATATTATATTATATATATATATTCCATAAAGAGAAAAATAGAAATAAGTTGTATTACGAGACTTTCTCCATAAAAAGTAATTTTTTCTTTCTTTTCAATCAAGCACAGCAACCGACTCTTCATCGCAAACAATGAATCTTCAAACCCTGATTTATAAATCTCACATTCCGAATCAAATCCCTAAAATGAATCTGAATTTCTCTTCCACACGTCTCCAAAATTGTCAGGTAACGCCATTGAACCGAATCTGCAAACACCGCAAGCAAATAATTACTGCTTGTTTAAAGCAAAAGATTCCAGTGAAACTAGAGAACTTGAATCCGGATTCATGCATCAGCGATGAACAACAAGTAAAAGCGGTAACACTTGGAGAAGAAATCCCAGTGGTAAATTCTAATGGTAAAGAAGAATTCTCTGGCAATGAAAGCATTTGGGATCAAATGGTGGAGATTGTAAAGTTTTCAGGGCCAACAGTTGGTTTGTGGTTATGTGGACCTTTGATGAGTCTCATTGACACTGCAGTTGTCGGTCAAGGAAGTTCTATTGAACTTGCTGCTCTAGGTAGAGATCTCACTGATCTTGCCATTTCTGGATGTCCAAAATATTCTATAAGCTTAAGTATTAGTTAATGATACTCTCAAACATGTCCCTCATGTGCGAGCCCATTCTTTTTCATGGGCCAAACATATGGAATTTTATTTTATTTTTAAAAATTTGGGTGGTGGTGAGATTCGATTTAGGACCTCTACCTACTCTATACATGTTAAAGTGTGTGATTATCTCATCTAAATACTTAAGCTGTCAGAAAGATCACACTTTTGAGTTAATATCTTATATGACCACTCAATTTGAATCACTTAGAAAGTCACTACTCAAAAATGACACAATAGTTGAACGGGATAATTATGTATTAACTCATCATACTTTTATACAATTTCCATATTGAGTGGGACGAACGGAGTATAATGTTGTTTAAATGTTCAGTGATTTAGCTCGACTTTTGTAATTGGCAGGTCCAGGAACAGTGTTTTGTGATAACACAAGTTATGTTTTTATGTTCCTTTCAATTGCCACTTCAAATTTAGTAGCTACTGCATTGGCCAAGCAGGTATGCTTTGTTGAAAATTCTTAATATTGGTATTATCTTTTAACTGTATCTACTTTCCCCAAATATTAGGTGCTTGGAAGTTATCATAGTATGGTGAACCTGTATATCAATATATAGTCGTTGGTATTTCTGTTTACTATTGCATTGTGAGCATCTTCGGTTATGGTGCAGGATAAAGATGAAGTGCAAGGTATCAATTGTTGTGGAAATATAGTGGCTTAACTAGCACACAATCACAAACAAAAAAATAGAGAAGGAAAAATTCTAGACATAATTAACAAATAATTAACACATATATGCATGCAGTGTTCCTGTTTTTGTTCATTAAGAGCAGGAAATGCTTTATCTATCTCAAACTCATGTTATTATCTTCAATATTCAACTACCCATCCGTTAAAGTGGGAAGTTAGATTGTGTGGTATCATAGTAGATTTATTACAACAAAAACAGTTTCTAATCTTACGAACATTAGTTAGCTATAGGTTTTAGAAATATTTACAAAGAATACTAATTACTGTTAAAAATACATATTCAATAGTAATAATTAATTTATTACCGTTAATTATTAATTAATTATTTTTGTTGTTATGATTGCTGTGTTAAATCTCCTTGCCGGATCGACTTGGAATATGTGAGATAGGAGATGTGTGTTGCTAACAAACTGAAAAAAAAAGCATGATGTATGCATGTGACAACTGTAGCTAGGGGTGTTCATGGTTTGGATAAAAACCGATCCAAACCGAAAAATCAAATCAAACCGATTAAATGAATTGATTTACTTTGGGTTTTAGATTGTTAAAAATCGATAGTATTTGATTTGGATATGGTTTTGTTCGGAAAAAATCTAAGAAATAATTGAATCGAACCAACAAGTTATATACATAAATTTTATTATTATACATACATAATATATTATATTCATAAACAATTTTAAAGATTTTATATATGTTTCATCAAAATTTATTTATAATTTACTTATGAAAGAAAAAATGTCCAAAGTGAGAACAAATTTCTTATTAGTTTCATGTATATGAGCATCTATGAAAATTCTTTGTGGGTCTGAAAATGTCATTGTCTCTTCCTTCTATGCCAAAATAGTGAATTTTGAAGTTTTATTCAGTAAATTCAATGATTCAATGATCGAAAGTTCTGTAATGCTAGTCATTCTAACTATTTTTTTGTTTTAATGGATTGTTATCACTCTTTTCACGTTTCTTTTATTTTTATGTATGGTTAATAACCGAATAACCAAACCAAAACTGAAAACAACCAAATCGATAAATGTGTATTATATTTGGTTTGGTTTGATTTTGATAATTTTAAAATCGATTAAATTGGTTTAGTTTTAATTTTGACGAATAACCGACCCAAACCAAACCGTGAACACCCTAACTGTAGCAGTGTTGATATAAGTCAAGATTCTAACTTCTTTTTGGCACAAACTGTACGCACAAGTACATTTACATAATGATATAGTGACGACAAGAGAACAACTTTTTGGCACAAACCCTACGCACAAGTCGAGGGTTAATTGTTTTATTCCCCAGATTGTCCACATAGAAACCCTAAAAACTCGATCGAAATTTAGGAAAAACTTCAAAAAAGTGTGATGAAAATTGTATCCCACGGAAGAGTTGGAGCTTCTTCTCCATGGGCGACGAGCCTATCGGAGCCCTTCTTCTGCTCCAAAATTACCGTAAAGAAATTCTTCTTCAAAACTTCTCCAAAACAGAAAACGTAGAATACAAATCTCAAAACCGATGACTAGGCGAGAAAACTCAAACTCAAACTGTTAATTGGTCAGGAGTTAATTGAGAAAATTGACTTAAATCTAAAAGAAACAGAGTATATTGAGAGAGTATTTTTTACCGGCAATGGTCAAATGCCCATAATATTCGAGTTTATTAAGCAAATTAGTGGCAACTGTTTTGTTATAGTGTGAAAACAATATAGGCATTTGATGTCAAGCTTCAGTGCTCGCAATTCAACTGTTAGTAACAATCTTCTAGGCAAGAAAAAACTATCAGGAACATTCTAATGCATCATATATTCCTTTTTCAAATTCAATTCAAGATTCATACCTATAGTCGTCCATACAACTTGTGGTCGAGACTCCTGCCCCAAATTAAGGGATTCGATGACTTATGCACTAAAGCTCATGAGGTGGATTGGAATCACTGCTTCTCTTTATTGTCGCGAGTGGGTCTGTGTCCTTCTCATTACAGTCCTCATGAGCATCTTGGATTATGGTGCAGGATAAGGACGGAGTGCAACACCAGATATCTATACTGCTCTTCATTGGGTTGGCCTGTGGTGTTGTGATGTTAATCTTTACAAGATTGTTTGGTACTTGGGGCATTACTGGTATGTATCTCATTCTCTTTTTGGTGGTGAATGTATCTATCATTCAATATGTATACTATTCAGAATGTTCCTTTCTTCCTTCAGTAATGGTGTAATTTTTATGAGCAACTAATGATAAATTTGTCTCCGATCCCTTTCAGCTTTCACAGGGGCACACAATACGGAAATAACAAATGCAGCAAATACTTATGTCCAGGTTATTATGCTACTTCTGTTAGTTGTTAGTGCATGTTCTGCTGGATAGTAAGAGAGGTCCAATGCAAATTGGATATATTTATTCTGGTGATCTTTCGAGAGGCATCTTATCTAGAGTCCAAAGACTTAGCATATAAAGGAAGGTTTGAATGTTGTATTGTTTCATATCACTGTTAGATGACTTAGGAATTGGAAAGTTGTTGGCAAATTGAATGAATGATATACAATATTTGATTATCTGGATTTCTTATTGCCAATCTTCAAAGTAGGGTTTCATCCGTCCTAGTTCAAATTTGCTATAGCAGGGATAACAATATTTGGTTGAAAGTTCTATCGTTCTGGGATATAATCAAGTCAAATCTACTTGTGCTTGGTTACCTGAGCACACTTCATCTGAATAGAATATCTTTTTTTGTGATAGATTCGAGGATTGGCATGGCCTGCAATGCTTGTTGGTTGGGTTGCCCAAAGTGCAAGGTAGCATCTACCTTCTGATACTCTAATTTGTATATTATGTAATCAGTGCGCTTTTAGATAATTTGTACTTGAATTTAGTTGGCTGAGTGATCTATAAGGTTGTGTTGAAATCTATTATGTTTCTTCTTCATATTTGCAGCGATACTTTTACAAGAACCACTAACATATGCACTTAGTTCCTATGGCTACAATTTGAAATATGCATTCCTTGGTCAAATTATTGAGCTTTAAATCTGAAAGCTGTTTATGATTTTCTGCTGGTGATTTTTTTGTTAAGTGTATTGGTCAGTATGTTTCAGTGTATAATATAGTCTTGTTAATGGGATATACAGTTTAGGCATAAAAGACTCATGGGGACCTTTAAAGGCTTTGGCAGTTGCTACTGCTATTAATGGCATTGGCGACATAGTCTTATGCAGATTCTTTAATTATGGTATTGCTGGAGCAGCATGGGCAACGATGGTGTCCCAAGTATGCCACAAACGCCTTTCCTTCCTCTAAATTATTTTGATCTGCTCTTCAACCCTGTCTCCCTCTCTGCCTCTCTCTATTTTCATACTCTTTATGGTTATATTCCTAGCTTACATGCAATATTTTAGGTTGTTGCAGCTTATATGATGATTGCAGCTCTGAGCAAAAATGGGTATAATGGTTTTGCCTTATCTGTCCCATCATTGGATGAACTTCTACAGATTTTCATGCTTGCAGCACCTGTGTTCCTAACAATGATGTCAAAGGTTTGTTTGACTCAACTTCATTTTCGGCTTATATGAAAGAAGTGACTATGTTATGTATCTGATAGATATTGAATTCAAGGTGGCATTCTACTCTCTACTTGTCTACTATGCTACATCAATGGGCACATACACTGCTGCTGCACATCAGGTTAGTTTTTGTTGACTAATATTTCAGATGTATTTTCTTCTTGCATCATTCTAATGCAATAGTCAGACGGATATTAACACTAACATTACTTGCCTTATTAGGTCACACGACAACTGTACTGCATATTTACAGTATGCATTGAGCCGCTCTCTCAAACAGCGCAGTCATTTATGCCTGAATTGTTACATGGAGTGAATCGGAACTTGTTGAAGGTCTTAAATTTATTTATGTAAAATTTACAGCATCCTGCATCTATTTTCTTACTACCACTTCCAAGCTTGAAAAGCTATCATAAAACGTTCCGTTATATCTGTAAAAAACTCTTCTTTGAAGAAAGCCTCGACTTCCATGAAATATTTTACTCTGATGTCCATATAAACTGTCATGTCTATTCATTCTCCAATTGACAACTTTAGAGTTGTGGTCCATGCATTTTTCTTTAATAGGACATTTTAAAAGATGAACACTGTGAATCAGGCCCGGATGCTGTTGAAATCGCTTTTGATTATTGGAGCATTAAATGGATTAATAATGGGAACTGCTGGAGTGTTAATGTCATTGTTTTTCTCCAAAATATTTTCAACTGATCCTTTGGTCATACAAGAGGTTAGTCCCGAATTATAATTCACTTTTTATCCTCTTTTTTGGTCATGAGGATATATATTAATCCTCTCCATGCCGTCTTCTTTATGAATAATTTTGCACAAATGATAAAGAAAAAAAATACTGCATAAAATAAAAATAAAAACAAGACAAAGAAAGCTGTGTGAATTTTTCCATGTTACACAGGATTAATATTGTGTAAGCATCATCATTGTATCAGTTTTTTTTCTGATCTACTAATTGTTCTCACCTTCTATTGGTGCAGATGCATAATGTACTGCTGCCATTATTTCTAGCTCTCTTGGTAGCTCCGTCTGTTCTTTGTCTTGAAGGAACCTTGTTGGTACGGTTTCATACTTGTTCCAAATTATGTTTTGATCATGGTAAATAGTTTGGTTGACTGTATCGATTATTTTTATCTGAAAGTTTTGTTTATTTTGTCTATGCCTGCCATAAATTTAAGAAGTATGCTCTGTTTCATTGGAGAAATATATAGCATTTCAAGTTTATTAAGGAGCAAGTACTACTGGGTAGGAGGGGCTAACTAGGTTGAATTTATTTGTACAAGGAATTAACTTTTTTCTTCACGAGGAATTTCATTTATGAACTATCTGCAAAATCAATACTATAATAACCTTATCATTTTGCCTTGTGATTGTTTACATTTATAATTTACTTAATTGTTATTGTATGATAAGATATCTTTTAATCCTAAAAATGGTTATTTTGAAGCTTTTATCTCAATTGTGTGATGATCTGATTACGTTATAGGCTGGAAGAGACTTAAAATTTTTGAGCATATCAATGACCTCCATATTTGGTTTGGCTTCTCTTCTCGTCTTGGTAAGTCATTTCACTTATTTTCAATGAGTCCCCTCATGATTTAGTTTGCAAACAAACTTTTTTTTTTACCCTTGCTCAGGAAGCTAGATTTCTTAAATCTTTTTCTAATTAAACAGAATACTATTCACTAATTATTTTGATCTCAAACAGCTCTTCAGCAGTAAAGGATTTGGTTTGTCGGGGTGCTGGTTTGCACTAGTAGCTTTTCAATGGGTAACTTCATTTCATTAGTTTTTTTTTTACTCTTTGTTTGCTAAAACTGGCTCATGTTGTTTTCCATTTTAACTTTCGTTTTCTTTGCAGACACGATTTTTGGTAGCTCTACGGCGACTCACGATGGTGGATGGCATGCTTTATTTGGAAGGCTCAGTTCATGATGAGTTTCAAAAGTTGAAAGTTTCATAGGGGATTATTATGTTCGAGACAATAGTCACCACGTCAATTTTTACATGCATTTTAATTTATTTTTTTTGAAAAAAGGCAAGGGGAGGAAAAATAGGAAAGAGTATTATAACCTGAGAATCAAACTCTCAGTAACAAAACGAAATTTCAGAAGCAATGAATAAAGTTCGTTTGAAGTGTTTGCTAATATTATTTTTTTATGATTGAATATGAGTTATGACTCAAGTGCACCTACATGAAAAATTCAGACAAATAACTAAAACTTTAGCTATTTTTTTAATATGTACTTTAGTTAAAAATGCATAATGTTAGACTTGACAAGTCAGATAAATGTCAATAAAAAATATATGAATCATGACTTTGTCAAATTTATAAATATTCAAAGCACCACACAAAATTGGATATTTGTGGACTTCAGGACAGTTAGGGAAACGCTGAAGCACAAGTATATTCGAAGCAGGCGCCAATTTTCAAGTGGCTCAGAAAACTTTCTATTTACGCCTTTACGGCCATAATTTTCCCTCTGTTTTTTCTATCTGTTCAATCAAGCATCGAAATCTTCATCGCTAATAATGAATCTTGAAACCCTAACTTGTAAATCTCACATTATTCCGATAGAAATCCCTAAATTCAATTTGAATTTCCATGTTGATTTTTCTTCCACCCGCCGTCGAACTTGTCGGGTAACATCATTGACCCGAATCTGCAATCACCGCAAGCGAATAATCACTGCTTGTGTAAATCATAGCCAAGAGATTCCAGTGAATCTAGAGAACTTGCATTCGAATTTGAATTCATGTACCAGTGATGAAGAACAAGTAGAAGCGGTAACAGTTCGAGAAGAAATTCCAGTGGTAGATTCTAATGCTAAAGGAGAATTTTCTGGCAATGAGAGCATTTGGGCTCAAGTGGTGGAGATTGTAAAGTTTTCAGGGCCAGCAGTTGGTCTATGGTTATGTGGACCTTTGATGAGTCTCATTGACACTGCAGTAATCGGTCAAGGAAGTTCTATTGAACTTGCCGCTCTAGGTAGAGTCTTCCCATTTCTGGATGTCAAAAATATTTGGCACAATCGTACTTTTATTCATTTTCCATATAAAGTGGGATGGGTTGAGTATAATGTTGTTTAAATGTTCAGTGATTCAGCTCGAGTTTTGTAATTGGCAGGCCCAGGAACAGTATTTTGTGATAACACAAGTTATGTTTTTATGTTCCTTTCAATTGCCACTTCAAATTTAGTTGCTACTGCATTGGCCAAACAGGTATGCTTTGTTGAAATTCATGTTATCATTTAACCGTATCTGCTTTCCCCAAATATTAGGAGCTTGGGAGTTATCATAGTATGGTGAACCCATATATCAATATATACATTTTCTGTTTACTCTTGCATTCTGAGCATCTTGGATTATGGTGCAGGATAAAGATGAAGTGCAACATCAGATATCTATATTGCTCTTCATTGGGTTGGCCTGTGGTATTTTGATGTTTATCTTTACAAGATTGTTTGGTACTTGGGGCATTACTGGTTAGCATCTCATTCTTGTTTTGATTGTGGATTTATCAATCATTCAATATGTATACTATTTGAAATGCCCTCTTCTTCCTTCAGTATTTTTTATGAACAACTGATGTTAAATTTGTCTTACTTTCAGCTTTCACAGGGGCAAACAATATGGAAATAGTAAATGCAGCAAATACTTATGTCCAGGTTATTATGCTATTAATTATTAGTGCATGTTCTCTTGGATAGTAAGAGAATTTCAATAGAAAATGGATATATGTATTGTGTTCTTAGTTGCGCAGACTCTTCACTTTTGATGCCACACCCATCTCGGATTCTCCAAAAATACACTACTTTTGGTGAATCCGACACGCACCCGTTGGCACTTTTGAAGAGTCCGAGCAACATAGATTGTGTTTATCTTTCAAGAGACATCCTGACTTATCTGGAGTCCAAAGATTCTAAAATAATGTTAGTTTTGAATGTTACATTGTTTCATATAGCTTTTAGATGACTTATGTTTGAATATCCTGCTAACTGAAACAAGTAAGTTATTTCTGGTAAGGGACAAGGAAAAAAGTCGTAGGAGCTTGGAAGTTGTTAGCAAATTGAATATCTGAACTTCTTATCGCTGATCTTCAAAGTGGGGTTTCATCCATCCTAGTTCAAACTTGCAGATAAAGACATTAGGTCATTTGTTATACTTCCAGAATTCATATGCTATAGCAGTGATAATAATATTTGGCTGAAAGTTATATTGTTCTGGGATGATCAAGTAAAATCCACTTGTGCTTGGTTACCTGAGCACACTTCATCTGAATAGAATATCTTTTTGTGCTAGATTCGAGGATTGGCATGGCCTGCCATGCTTGTTGGTTGGGTTGCCCAAAGTGCAAGGTACCATCTACCTACTGATACTCTAATTTGTATAGCATTATGTAATCAGTGTGCTTTTAAATAATTTGTACTTTAATTTTGTTAACTGAGTGATAAATAGGGTTGTATAGGTAGCAATCTACAATGTTTCTTCTTCATAGTTGCAGGGATTCTTTTACAAGAACCACTAACATATGCATTTAGTTCCTATGCCTACAATTTGTCAATGTTCTTTTTCTTGTCTGCACAATGTCCTGTTTCATGCTGTTCCGGCCACAGAATCAATTGACGGGAATTCCAAGCCCCCAAATTTATTTCTCACCATATTTCATCTTCCTCTTCCTGTTGTGCTTTTCTCATTGATGCAAGTTCTCTCCCTATGTGTGATCAGATTCAAACTGTTTAGTCCACTTTTCTTCTTTATATGAGAAGAGTAGCACCATTAGTGGAACGAGGGGTTGCTCTGATGTTAAGCACCCTCCACCTCCAATCACAAGGTTGTGTGTTCGAGTCACCAAGGGAGTAGAAAAGGGAGCATAAAAGGTGGGAGCTCCTAGGGAGTGGTAAAAAAAGGATTGCCAAAAACAAAACAAAATAGAAATGTTGGTGAATTTTAACACACATACTGAACTCTTAGTAGATGATGAAGATAAGCACGATTTTTTAGATAATGAAGATGAAACAATTGTTATAAGTTCAATAAGCTAATTACCCTATTTAGATGGAAGGTCCATGAGGCTTGAAGCACAACGCGAGAAGTGAAGTGCGCAACTTAGGAGAAATTAGAAATACCAAGTATATGTGAATTTAATACTATAATAGTAAATTGATAGTAAAACTAGTTTCAGCATCCAATATACAAAGATTCTGACATTAGTCCAACTCTTCAAAATTGAGATTCAAAGTGCCAAGCACTTCTCATTTGTATCATTGTTTGAGTTACACTTTTCTCTGAAGCACATGGCTGCACCCGTGAAGGGATAACCCCTTGCTTCACATCAACTGATGCAGCGTTGGTTTTAATAGTACTGGTTGGGAGACATTTGAGCATGATTGTCTTTGCTTGACATTTCCTTGATTAATATAATTTTTTCTTTGATTAATATATATTTGTTCCAATTGACTATCATTCCTGATACTATTTTTTTTTACTTTAATGAAATCTTGATGATGAAGTTTCTTAAAGAAAGAAACGACACTTATGGATAACTGTCAATACTGAAAGTTCTTAATGTTTTTCGTCCAGTATTTATATGTTTGAAATGTGCATTACTTGTCAATCTTTTGAGCTTTAAATCTGAAAACTGTTTATGATTTTCTGCTGGTGGTTTTTGTGTCAAGTGCATTGGTCAGCTGTTTATGATTTGCTGCTGGTGTTTTTTGTATTAATATAGTTCTTGTTAATGGATCTACAGTTTAGGCATGAAAGATTCATGGGGACCTTTAAAGGCTTTGGCAGTTGCCACGGCTATTAATGGCATTGGCGACATAGCCTTATGCAGATTCTTTGGATATGGTATAGCTGGAGCAGCATGGGCAACAATGGTGTCCCAAGTACGCCAAATATGCCTTCCCTTCCTCTAAATTTGATCTGCTCTTCAACTCTCTGTCTCTCTCCCTCCCTCTCTCCATTTTCATACTCTTCATGAAAATTTTAGGTAATATTCCTTGCTTACAAGCTATATTTTAGGTTGTTGCAGCTTATATGATGATTGTAGCCCTGAGCAAGAAAGGGTATAATGGTTTTGCCTTATCTGTCCCATCATTTGATGAAGTTCTACAGATTTTCACACTTGCAGCACCTGTGTTCTTAACAATGATGTCAAAGGTTTGTTTGACTCAACTGCATTTTCGGCCTGTATGAATGTAGTTACTATGTTATGTATCTGATAGATCTTGAACTCCAGGTGGCATTCTACTCTCTACTTGTCTACTATGCCACATCAATGGGCACACACACTGCTGCTGCACATCAGGTTAGTTTATGTGGACTAATATTATACATGTATTTTCTTTTTGCATCTTTCTAATGTAACGGTTAGATGAATGCTAACACTGACGTATTACTTACCTTATTAGGTCATGCTACAACTATTCTGCATATTTGCAGTATGGGGTGAGCCTCTCTCTCAAACAGCGCAGTCATTTATGCCTGAATTGTTGTATGGAGTGAATCGGAACTTGTCAAAGGTCATAAATTTATTTATGTAAAATTTACAATATCCTGTATTTATTTTCGTACTACCACTTCCAAGCTTGAAAAACATAAAATTTTCCATTATGGGCGTGTTTGGTATGGAAGAAAACATTTCTTTTTCTATGTTTGGTTGGTCAAAATGTTTGGAAAATATTTTCTCTAGGAAAACAAGTTCCTTAAAAATAAGGAAAATGACTTCCCTAATGGAAGTAGGGAAAACAAATTGTATAAGTGGCATTCTATGGTTATTGTCTCCTCCCCACCCACCCAATCCCCCAACCCCATCCCTTGACCATCCCACCCCCACTCCCCATCCCATCTCGCCTCCATAGTGTTTTGCCAGACAACATATAAATGCTCTTTGGATAATATTTTTTTGCTTACTTACCAAACACTAGAAAATAAGTAAGAAATCCATTTGTTTTCCAAGAAAACATTTTCTAGGAAATCATTTTCCGTGGAAAACAATTTCCTTCATACCAAACACACTAATATATCTGTACAAACCTCTTCCTTGTGGAAAGCCCTGACATCCATGAAACTTTGACTGTGATGTCAATGTAAACTGTTGTTTCTATTCATTCCCCAATCGACAACTTTAGAGTTGTGTCCATGCATATTTTTTGATGGGACATTCTAAAAGATGAACACTGTGAATCAGGCCCGGATGCTGCTGAAGTCCCTTTTGATCATTGGAGCATCAAATGGTTTAATACTGGGATCTGCTGGTGTGTCGATATCATGGTTTTTCCCCCAAATGTTTTCATCTGATCCTTTGGTCATACAAGAGGTTAGTTGCATATAATATTTGTCTTTTTATATCCTGTGACTTTTCAATTTAGATGAAGTTCACAATGACACATCTCTTGGTCATGAGAATATTAATCCTCTCCACACCCTCTTTATTATGAATAATTTTGCTACTTGGAGCAAGCAGAAAAGATAAAGAAAGACACACTGCATAAAATAAAAACAATGCAAAGGGGGAGCTGTGTGAGCCAAATAAAGATTTTATGTCGGTGAAAATAATTTTTTTCTGATCTGCTGATTGTTCTCACCTTCTGTTGGCACAGATGCACAAAGTACTGCTGCAATTATTTCTAACTCTCTGGGTGTCACCATGTGTTCATAGTCTTGAAGGAACCTTGTTGGTACGGTTTCATACTAACTCTAAATTATATTTTGATCATTGTAGATATTTTGGTTGATTATATCGAGTATTTTTATCTGAAAGTTCTGTTTATTTTGTTTATGTCTGCCATAAATTCAAGGAGTATGCTCTGTTTCCTTGGAAAAAAATTTATACCATTTCAAGCGTATTAAGGGGTAAATACGTAGGAGGGGCTAACTAGGTTGTGTTTATTTGCACTAGCAATTAGCTTTTTTCTTCATGAGGGTTTCATTTATTAACCATTTGCAAAATCAATATGTACTAGTGAGTACATTAATTCCTACGAGAACATAATCCGACAATCAGCGAATTGATTAATCCAAAAAACCGTAGATGTGTTTTAGTTTCTTGGGAAAAAGAGCAGCAGAGCCACCTTCCGTTTCTTTTCCTTTTTCTTGTAGACGTTCAGCACCTACCCAAAAATATTTCCATCTTGTATATTGTTGAAGCCATTACCATTTGCCTTGTGATTCTTTACATTTATTTTTATCGTTATTGTATGATACTATATTTTTAATCTTTATTATTCTAGTTATGGTTTTTGAAGCCATATCTCAAGTCATTGATTATCTGATTACTTTTTAGGCTGGAAGAGACTTAAAATTTATCAGCATATCAATGACCGCCATATTTGGTTTAGCTTCTCTTCTCGTCATGGTAAGTCATTCCATTTATTTCCAATGAGTCCCCTCATGATATACAGTTTGCAAACTAACTTTTTTTTATCCTTGCTCACGAAGCTATATTTCTTAAATCTTTTCTGATAAAAAGAATATTACTCACTTATTATTTTGCTCTCAAACAGCTCTTCAGCAGTAAAGGATTTGGTTTGACGGGGTGCTGGTTTGCTCTAGTAGCATTCCAATGGGTAAATTCATTTCAGCCTTTCTACTCTTTGTTTGCTAAAACTGGCTCATGTTGTTTTCCATATTAACTTTCTTTTTCTTTGCAGACACGATTTTTGGTAGCTCTACGGCGACTCACTTTGGCGGATGGCATACTTTATTTGGAAGGCTCAGTTCATGATGAGTTTCAAAAGTTGAAAGCTACGTAGGGGTTTAATATGGACGAGACAAAAATGCCCACATAGAAAATGTCCAAATTTTGTTGTTACTTGTTAATATCAAGTTATTTGATCCACCATGTCATAACTCAAATGAGTTGAGAACGAATTATTATTTACTTATTTAATATTCGGAGCGCTATTGTAATAGTACTTTTTTGGTATTGTAATATTCCTGAAAGCATTATTATGGTTTGTACATCCAAGTCCTGAGTTACCAATCTACTTATTAATATGCTGTGCAGTATTTGACATATAATTACTTTGAAGCGTGTGATTCGTCTAAAGTTACATCAACTAAACAAACATAAATAGAATGATGGGGTTTTCCCAGTGCAGTGACCACAAAAAGTCAGAACTATGATTACGAGACTGTAAAAAATTAAGACATCAAGGACCCATGAATAGTGTCCACTATTCCCTTACAATGAGCCATGGGAGTATTGTGGTGGCTACTGCGGAAAGGAAATTAAGAAATGAGCCACAATGAAAGATCAAACCCTGCTACTTCCTCGGCGACTACGAGCATATGATCTAGGTACCGGTCCTTTATCCTGCACATAAGGAGACCCCAAAATGAGCAAGGATGATCATGAAAGAAACAAAGGAGAACAATGTGTATTTATTTGCACTCAAGGGTGTTGCCTAGCGGTCATTGAACTTGATAAAAACAGTAGGAAACCAATTCAAAATTCTAATATGGACAAAAGGTGCTCATTTGTCCAAAGCCTTCTTAGGTAAATTACTTCGTACACGTCCATAGGTGGAGTAGCATGTACCCGGTGTATTAGTGGAACCCAGTAAATTAGTGAGAGTTGCACAAAAGCTTAGCTAGGAAACCAGTGTTATAAAAGAAACTAGATAAACAAAAGATGACCTGAAATGATCGCCTCTCTGCATATTGTTTTTGTTTTTTCAAAAAAAGAATTTGAGCCTGTTTCTTCTTCTCTTCAGCTTTCATTTTTGTCAGGCTTGGACGGTAGAGAATCACAGTCCTACCAATTTGACCAACAACCACTGAGCCAGTTGCTTCCTCCAAATGCTTTACAACATCATCCAGCTCTCCTCCGGGACAGGTACCATGGATTTTGAGCTGCATATAACAATGAGGGCATAAAAAACAAACACAAGACCAATGCGTTTTATCACATTAACCAAAACTTAACACATTGCTAAGAAGATAATAAGCGTTCACCTTAGGTGAAGTAAATTAAACTCTATTCATGTCCCACCGCGAAAGGCCCTTATTCATCAGCAGATCAACTTATGATCATCAATTTGAACATTTGTCACTTTTACCAGCACAAGACACATACTTGATAAAAATGAGCATCTTGCTAAATGCGCTTAGCCTAAACATATATATATTGATCAATATTTCTCACACTCCCAAGTGCTAATACAACTATCTATAAACAGATTTTAACCAATTACTAATTTAACAATGTCACAAGCATAACTAGCAACAGAATTTTCCCTCTTTTCTACACACCTCTACTTGCTAGTAACCAGAATTATTAACCTCAACAACTTAATAAACATTCAGATAAACGCAATCTCATTAAAGTTATAACTATTCATAACATGTTTGTGCGAATTTGAGTTCCATGCTTTCATGATTTCAGCTAAAAAAACCTTTAAGCAACAGAGGAAGGAACTATAACACAGGAAACCATTTAGCAAGATCAATATCACTAATCAGATTACATACTTGTTACAATGTACAATATCAACAAACTAAAATGGCAGGCAAGCACAAACAGTTCCACCGTTTGAACAACATGCCTAAGTAAGATTCACAGCAAAATTAATAACCAAATTTTACCTATTTACTATGTTACTTATCAAACATAAAAATCATCTACACTTGTTAAAAAGTCACTGTTCTTGTTTACTAATTCAGAACAATTTTTTTTTGTTTATTTATGAGGTTAAGGTCAGCACAATTAGCCCCCTTCGACCATAGATTTTGAAGTAGAAATATGAAAAATTGAGCTTCTGAAGTTGTGTTTGTACCGGCAATTTACTTGGAAAAAGAAGTTGAAGTTTTATTTGTGGAAGTCCAAAGAATACCAAAACTGGTGTGAGCCAATATTTTGGAAACTTGAAAAAATATTCAAATTTCATGGCCAAATATATATTTGAAGATAAAATTTTCAAAATCTGATACAAAATCTATGACCAACTAACTGTTAGCTAAAAGTTCTGAAGGCCAATTTCGCAACAGAAAAAAAAAATCGCACTGATTTGAAGATAGCCTTTCCAGGCATAACGATTCAATATAAACCCTAAACCCTAACTAGTTGCCCAAATATTTGAGTAAATTGTATGCCAACAGCAAAAAATTGAGAAAATGTACCTTGAGAAGCTCATTAGCTTCAAGAGTCTCCTCTAAAGCCATTACCACAGTATCAGTAACACCAGATTTGCCAACCTGTTGGCTCTTTAGCTTCTTCCCTAAACTATGTGCATACGATGCCAATTCTTTCTTCTCCTTCACAGTCAGGTTCGGCAATTTCGCCCTTAATATTTTTCTCTCAGACTCACTAGGCCTGGGGGCAGTAACTTCTTCATTTTCTTTTACAGTTTCCTCGGCTTCCACATCCTCAGAAGATTCCAAGAGAGCTTGAGAAGTACAGCTAATTGGAAGGTTCGAGAAAGTTCTAGAACGAAGGAAGATTGATGTATGGGTCCGAAGAGAGGGGAAGAAGGAAGGAGAATTGTTGGTGATGGGATGAAGTGACGTCGTTTGATGGGGAAAAAGAGAGAGAGATTGCTTAAGGAAGGAGAAAGAAAGGATGGGAGCGGGTCGGAGCAGGCGATGGAGAGCCATGGAGGAAGAGGAAGAAGATAACATTACACTACTCATTTGCTCAACGCAGCGACATCATTTTGCTTTGTAATTTTTATTTTATTTTATATTATTACCTCTTTCTAATTTATGTAATTAGTTTAACTTGATATAAGAAAAAATATGTTTTAAATTTATAATTTAAAGTAAGTCATCATAATTCATATTTATGTTGCTATAAGCTAATTAATTAATTAAGACTTTATAATTGTTCATTCATGTATGTATATATATGTTTTGTTCGAGTTCATTGTAAAAATTAAAATATTTGTTTTCTTAATTTGAACTGTGTGAATATTGTAAAATAGATTAGGTAATATAAATAGGTAGTAATTATAACAGGGTGGGTGTTTGGTCTAGTGGTATGATTCTCGCTTCAGGTGCGAGAGGTCGTGAGTTCGATTCTCGCAACAACCCCCCCCCCCCCCCCCCCCCATAACTGCTATATCTTTCTTTTTTTTTTGTATTCTTCTTGTGTGTGAACCACTTAAATGTTCATTTTCTCATAAAATTTAATATTTTATTGTTGTTTAATAATCGGTATTTCAAAATTCATGGTCTAAATTAATTTAAATTTATGCAACCTGTAAAACGCTTCTAGATTAATTTAAATTTATGCCACGTGAAATCTATTTAAGTGAAAAACGTTTGAATATGCAACTTTTAATTTTGAAATTGAGAAATTTATCCATATCATCACATTAATATTTGTTGATAACCATTTAATCTTTGGGAAAACTACACAAATTGGACCAATTAATGAAACTACTTACTCAAGTTAGACTCAACACAAACTATTCATCTTTAATGAATCCGCATCCCAAATTATTTACGGCTATATACCCTGATAATATCAAACAGTAACCAGTAATGTTTTTTAGTACTAATAATATAATAAAGTTCAATGTAAAAAATAATACTCCCTCCGTCCCTATTTACTTGTCCATATTTCCTTTTTTAGTTGTCCCTATTTAGTTGTCCATTTTGACAAATCAAGAAAGGACAACAATTTTTTTCCTATTATACCCTTATTTACACTTCTTGAAAATTGTAAAAGTGTATGTTGTTTCCCTCCAATTTATTTCACTTGAATTCAAATAAGTGATGGTAATTTTGAAGTGAAAAGTTGTCATAAGGGTAAAATTGTAACTTCACTGTGCTAATCATTGTTGCCTTAATCTGTGTGTCATTTCTAAAGTAGACAACTAAAAAGGGACGGAGGGAGTATAAAAATCATTTGAAATATGATTTCTTTTTCTGGATGGATAGATGATATGATAAATCACTGATTTTGTTTTTGTGTTCTAAAATAAATTAATCAATATATTAACTAATCGATTAAATAACTTGAATCAAATTTTGTTCTTCTTGTTTTCTGGTTTTTGTCAATGATGTGAATGATTTTGGGAGAGCAATTTAACTTCAAAAAGTAACAAAATAGTTTTGTTCTGATGTATGTCAATGATGTGAATGATTTTCCTTGGCAAAATGATTCATTGATGGTGGGAGAGCAATTTAATTTCAAAAAATAACAAATTATTTTTATATTTATATATATTATATACATATATGCAACTTCCCCATAGTTTCAATTTCCCTCATAATTATTACCGTAAAAATTGAATCCAAATTTCCCCTCCCGATGAATGGACATAATCTTCAATTCATAACTTTTAAAAACTTCACTTTCAACATCAATCATTTCTCGATGATCACCAACACAAATTAGAAACAATTATCTTCAAATAACTGCATATATTATTGCTCCACCATGAACCCCACCTAGCTCCGCCTCTGTCCACAACCAGATGACAACCAGACCAAATCAACTTTAACCTCCTCAGCTCAAGCAAGAATAGAAAGAAAAAAAAAGGGCAAATGATATGTCATAGGCATAAATAGGAAAAAAAGGCAATCTCAGAGATTTCTTAGGTGCAAGTTTCCACCCCTCAATTTCTTCTACTAGCTCCCTAAAGTTAGGGTTTCTTGAGAATATCTGAACAAGATGGAGTGACTTTGTATTCACCTACAGTAATCATTTGTACCGATTCCCCAGAACCATCTCTCGGAGGATAAAACTGAACTGGCAGAAACTCTTCTGATTCACATACGAATCTTGTGTTCTTGAAATGGTTCACTAAAGCCTCTTTTCCCTGTTAAGTAGTAATAGAAATTTCACATAAAAAAATCACAAACTTAATTGGTTTATTTTAGAAATTTAACATTGACGCACCTGGATCTTCGCAGTGACAATCTTAACCGCCCAAGTAGATCCCGGAAACACATTTAGTTTGTCAAAAACCTCAAAAAAATTCCACACAGTTCTCTCATCTGTGAAATTCACAAATGCATAACCTTTGTTCATCTTGCTTCTGCAAATGAAAAATAAAAAAAATAAAAAACTAATAGTACTGAAATGGCTATACTTTACTGCAAATAAACACAAGAAAAATAATTATTTACTTGAAATCCATAGGCAAATACAAGAAATCATAAGCAAAGACATGAATATTTTCTCCATTTGAATCTCTAGCTTTTTGATTCTCCAGTAAACAGTGCTCGTCCAGAAATTGCATCAACATTTCACGGCTGTAAAGAAAAAATGAAATGAATTAGTCATCAAATTCAAAGAGCTACCAGATAACTAAACGACAAAGATAAATGATATGCCACTAGAGAGTCAAACCATTAAATTTTGTTATAATCAACTTCCCAGAAAAAGTAATCTGAACAATCAAAGAGATTAAAATTACTTGTAGACATATGGAATATTCTTAATCACGATAGTAGTCACGTTCTTATGGCTCCTACTTATAGGTATCACACCGTATTTAATCGGGCCATCGTTTCTCGACCACTCCCCGCCTCTGATTCCCTTAATGGATGGAGAAAATTTTGTTCTAGCGACATAATCATTTATCAATCTAGGAGGAATATTCAACCACGGGTGTTCCACCAGTGGTGGTCGCACATTCTCCCGTGGTGGTGAATCAACGGTAGGAGGAGGAGGAGGCGGTGGCGGAGTGGAAATAGGTATATATTCGGATGCATGCGGGTTCAACAAACTCTTACGAACAGTAGCCATGGAGGTACAATTGATAAAATTGAAAAAAAAAAAAAACTGTTTGGTTGTTTCTTTTATATATGAAAAAGTGACACAGATTTGAACAGAAAAATGAAAGAGACAGTGATAGTTAACATAAAAGGCAGGATAATACTGCAATAAAAAAGAGGAGAACAGTGTCTAGCTTATATAGTGTAAAAAAATTAAATTAATTGCAAAAAACAAATTTATTATAATAAGTTATATATTTCTTTTTCCATATATTTATTTAAAAGAGTTATCTATTATCGTAAGTAATTTATGAAGAGATTATGTAGTTCGGATTTTATTCATCTTGAAAAGGAAAAAATGTGATGAGATAGACGGACTTCGGTATTCATTCTTAAGAAAAAATTTCAAGTCCGGATCACAAAGAATAGATTTCAAATCCGGATCACAAAGAATGAGAACATTTATTGTAATTAAAAAATATTTTCCCTTTAATAAGATTGGGATCGAACCAAAATAAAGTGAAGATAAAATAAAGTGAAGATAATGCACTTGTATCTTAAATTTGAAAGGTGATAGATAAGTAACGTACAATTTTTGCTAGTAGTTTTGAAAATAGAACTTCAATTAACTTTTTTTAAAAACAAATTATATTTGAATTAGTAAATGATAGAGAAAACATTTTAAGCTAATCGTGCATTATGTTTATACACAAGTGAAATACTTAGGTGATTTACAAATAACAAAAGAATCAAATCTCTCTATTCTTCTAGTAGTGGTTGATTATCATGTATTTTTACAAAGTTAAACAGATCTCTAGTGTGTATTATTTCTTATTTTAGGTCCTTGATGATGAAAGTGTTTTTTAACCTCTACATTAGGGAGACGAATTATTTGTTTACCTCCATATATTTCTCTATTCATAGAGTACATTAAATGAACAAAAATGACTATAACAACTTCTTTAATGTGTCAATAATATATATATATATATTAGAGGAGTAACATCCCTGCTAGGCAATACTGAACTTCATTATTTCATAAACAAAAAATACAACAACAAAGGGTGGAACCCATCACCTGCTACTCAATTGATTGATCGGATTATCTGAGAGATTTCTCAAGTGTCAGTATTTCACCCCTAAACTTTTTCTCCCCCACAAATATAAACCCTAAAGTCCATCGATCGATCGGATTATCTGGAGTGTCTTTGTAATGCCCCCACAGTAATCATTTGCACCCATTCCCCATAACCATCTCTTGGAGGATTAAACCAAACTGGTAGAAACCTTTCTGATTTACACATAAATCTTGTTTTCTTGAATCGGTTCACTAAAGTATTTTTTCCCTGTTAATTAGTAGTAGTAGAAATTTCACATCAAAAATCATAAACTTATTTAATAATTTATACCTTTATTTTTGAAATATAACAATCACGCACCTGGATCTTCGCAGCGACAATCTCAACACTCTTTACAGATCCTGGAAACACGTTTAGTTTGTCATTAAAAGCCCAAAAAAAATTCCACAGAGTTCGGTGATCAGTGAAATTCACAAATGCATAGCCTATGCTCCTATTGTTTCTGCAAATTCAAAAATAAAAGATAATCTAATAGTACTGAAGTAGTTTCTGTACTTTGCCTGCAAATAAACACAAGAAAATTAATTAAACGAGATTATTTACTTATAATCCATAGGCAAATACAAGAAATCATAAGCGAAGACATGAAAATTTTCTCCATTTGAATTTCTCGCGTTTTGATTCTCCAGGAAGCAGTACTCGTCTAGAAATTGCATCAACATATCACGGCTGTAAAGGAAAAAATGAAATTTAATTAGATCGATAATGATATGGAACTAGAGAGTCAGACGGTTAAATTTTGTTTTAATCCAACTTCCAAATTAATATGAACAATAAAAGAAGCAAAAAAGTTAAAAATTACTTGTAATGATATGGTATATTTTTTATCATTACAGTAGTTTTGTTCTCATGTGTTGAACTTATAGGTATCACATCGTGTTTCACCAGCCCTCCTAGTCTAGGAGGAATATGCCGACGCTGACGACGTGGTCGCACATTCTCCTGTGGCGGTGAATCGACGGTAGTAGTAGGAGGAAGCGGTGGAATCATCGCCGGCTGAAATGGATGCGGTAGAATCATCGCCGGAGGAAATGGATGAGGTGGATGCATCGCCGGTGGAAATGGAGGCAGCGGAAGCAGCACATACGAAGGAGGAGGGAGTGGCGGTGGCAGAGTGGACACAGGGATATATTCGGGTGCATGCGGGTTCAACGAACTCCCCTGAACAGCAGCCATGAAGGTACAATTGATAAAGTTGGCAGTGATTTTGAATAAAAGTGTCAGTTATTTCTTTCATATGAGAGAGAGAGGGAAAGAGAAATTTGAAGGCACAAAAGAAATTTATTTTCCGAGAAAAGTAGAATACTTCAATGGAAAACAGGGAGAACTAATTCTTTCTTATAAAGTGTTACAAAAAATTGAATTTATAATACTAAGTTATATTCTTTTCTTTATCCAAATTTACGCGACACATTTCATTTTTCGGGATTCAAACGGGTTTAACCTTGACCAGAAATCGCGCATGAAGTTTTCATCTTTTTAAAAAATAAAATTTATATATTTATATATTATGTACAACGTACTAATAGTCACCATAATTGACAATTCAAAATAATTATTAGATATCTGAAAAAATAAAAATATTTTTAAAAAAAAATATTGTGTCAAGGATTTAAATTAAGCTGCAAGATATCTCTCACATAGGGGTTCAAATATGTCATATTTCTTTCAAGTTAAAATTCATTTATCATGTTCTTGAGATCTTTTATAAATCTTTTAAAAATATAAATTTAATAAAAGACAATTCAATATAAATAATTTTATTTTGATATGTACATATATTATAACATTGTCGATTTAATTCCCTTTTAAAAGGAAAAAATGTGAGAAAGATACCGAATTTCATTCATTTTGATTTTTTTTTTAGTAAAACAGTATTTTCCATTTCAATAATAAAACTGAACCCAAATAAATTGAAAAATATTGGCTTCTATTTTAAATTTGAACCCAAATAAATTGAAAAATATTGGCTTCTATTTTAAATTTAATTTGAATGCTGATCTCAATCACACTTTTGTCTTCCCTCACATAACTAAATTCATTTATGTAAGGCTTGTTTAGCCATGTGAAAGGTAGTCATTATATAAACTCATATAAGATAAAATTGAAATTTTATTTACATAGACAATTTAAGTTTAAAAAGCTACGTTTTTGTTCATAAAAGTAAAACCTCGTATATATTCTGAAATTTAAGTAGTAAAAGTTCAACTTCAAAATAAAGTTCTGAAGTCTCTCATTTGCGGAAGTTGAAGCTACAATAATTTGCCGAATGCCAAAGCTCCAACTCTTTGAACTTAAAAAGTGAATCCAACATAGTTTTAGTTAAAAATATTGTCATTTTTGCATTAAACTGTAGTATCTCACTTGTCAAATATATTAATTTTGATCACCACTTTATCATATTCAGGCTAAAATTACAAAATAAATTAATCCAACATATAAAATTTAAACTGAAAACTAGTAGACATATGAAAATATGTAATGAAACCAGAGGAACCAAATCAAATGTGTGATAGACATATCAGAGTAGAAGCAGCTCCTGCTAATGGCTATACTCAAACTTGTTTATTTCGTAAACGAAAAATACAACAACAAAGGGTGGAGTCCGTCACCTGCTATTCAATTACTTCTCCCCAGCAAAGCTAGCTTATCTAAACCCTAAAATCGATCAATCGGAATATCTGGAATGACTTCGAATTTCCCCACAGTAATCACTTGCACTGATTCCCTAGAACCATTTCTTGGAGGATTAAACCGAACTGGAAGACACTCTTCTGATTCACACACAAATCTTGTATTCTTGTATCGGTTCACTAAAGCATTTTTTCCCTGTTAATAAGTTGTAGTAGTAGAAATTCCACATCAAAAATTACAAACTTAATTAACAATTTCTTCTTTTAGTTTTCAAATTTAACATTCACGCACCTGGATCTTCGCAATGACCATCTGAACGCTCCTTGCAGAATTTGGATACGCTTTTGCTCTCTCACTAAAATGCCCAAAAAAATTTGAGAGAGTTCTGTGATCGGTGAAATTCACAAATCCATAGCCTGCGCTGCTCGTCATTCTGCAAATGCAAAAATAAAAGATAAGTTAATAGTACTGACTTCGACTGCAAATAAAACACAAGAAAAATAATTACACAAGATTATTACTTGAAATTCATAGGCAAATACAAGAAATCATAAGCGAAGACATGAATATTTTCTTCATTTGAATCTCTCGCTTTTTGATTCTCCAGTAAGCAGTAATCGTCTAGAAATTGCATCAACTTTTCACGACTGTAAAGGAAAAATTAAATTAATTAGATAATGATATGGAACTAGAAAATTTTTATTTTAATCAACTTCCAAATAAGGAAAAAGTAATATGAACAATTAAAGAAGCAAAAAATTAAAAATTACTTGTAATGAAATGGGATATTCTTGATCATGACAGTAGTTTCTTTCAGTTTCTCCAGCCCTTCTAGTTTAGGAGGAATACTCCGACGCTGGCGACCTCGTCCCACATTCTCCTGCGGTGGTGAATCGACGGTAGGAAGAGGAAGAAGCGGTGGAAGCGCAGGCGAAATTGGACGCGTTGGAAGCATCACCGGTAGAGATTGATGCCGTCGAAGAAGCACATACGTAGGATGAATATTCCGACGCTGGCGACCTCGTCCCACATTCTCTTGCGGCGGTGAATCGACGGTAGGAAGAGGCGGTGGCGGATTGGTAATAGGGATATATTCAGGTGCATGAGGGTTCAACGAACTCTTAGGAACATCAGCCATGGAAGTATACAATTGATAAAGCTGGTAGTGATTTTGAAAAAAAGTGTTTGGTTGTTTCTTTTATATGAAAAAAAAGAGAGAGAAATTGAGAATTGAATAGATAGTGAAGGAAGAAATGTAAAGAAAGAAACAGTTACCACCAAATGAGAAGGATATTTCTTGATAAGGAAGTTCTATACTATATGAATCTAAATTTATCGTCTCTATATAAATTTGAGTAGAAAATTTAAAAAAAGAAAAAGAGAAACTGCTGGTTTTCTGCACTCTCTATTCTGTGTATGCATCTATTATAATAATTAGTTGTGACTTATAAAAAAAAATATGCTGTGCCAATTATATTTTGAGCTAATCATTTATTGTGTTTACACTTAAGCGAAATAATTAGGTAATTTACGAGTACATAAATTATACTAATGTGATATTTTTAATATTATATCACGCTAAATATTGATGGGGACTTTGGTGTATTTTATGAATATCACAATCATTGAATTAGAAGTACTTTTACTACTCACCTCATTTTGTTTGTTTATCGTTGAGTTTAAAATTCAATTACTTATTAAATTATTGATTTACAAATTAATGAAATGTTAGCATATAGAGAATTCAACAAGTTAGTAAATTCAGATGTGTTATATATATATATCCACAGTTGGCTCCCTAATTACATTGCTTATAAGCTTTTTAGTTGTAACTAATTTAACAAATTATACAGTTATACAGTAGCTAACTTAACTAATTGATCACGTAGTTAGTTACTCTTAGCCTCTTTTAATTACTTAGCTCATCAACAAAAATAATAAACTCTATCTATTGCAAATAGAGGCTAATTCCAATGTGTTACACAAAATTAAACTGATCTCCACTGTATATTTATTTCTTATTATAAGTCCATTATGATCGATTTGGACATTGTGCAACTTTATCATGTATATCGCTAAACAAATACATATGATCGATTGGTTTGCTAAGTATGGCAGAAAAAAAATACTATACTATTAATATTGAATAAAAATTTCAAAAAAAGGTTTAAAATTAATTTAAATTATGCTGCAGAATATCTCCCACATGGGGGGGGGGGGGGGGGGGGCAAATAAGACATAATTTTTTTTAAGTTCATTTATTATGTGTGTGTGATCACGCTATTTTTATTTAAAAATAAATAAAAAATTATATAATCTCAATAAAAAACAATTCAATATGAAGAGATTTTTTATTTTTTTTTATAACTGAAAAACATCCACAAGGATTCTTTCTTATTTTTTTGCGTCACAACGTATCAGTCTTTGGTTAGAATAAAACTAGAGAAAAAGGGTCGCGTATTGCTATAGGAAAAAACTACAGCAATATAAAATAGAAGAAATGTGACCATCTTATAAGTTATAAGTGTAAATATTTTTTTATATTATTAGTATAGTTTCAATTTAAGAATTTATTTGTCATGGTAATTCATAAGTAACTTGATTTTGATATGTATATATATTATACATAGTCGATTTCATTCCCTCTAAAAAGGAAAAAATGTAAGAAGATGGCCGAATTCCATTCATTTTGAATTAAGATTTCAAGTTCAAATAATAATAATAAAGAAAAAAACGATATTAGAGTGTTTTCCATCTAATAAGATTTGAATTGAACCCAAATAAATTGAAAAATATTCACTTTTGTTTTAAATTTAATCTTGATCTCGTTCACTCTGTTTGCCATGTGAGATAAAATTATGAGATGAAACAAAAGTTTTATTTGGACATATAATTTGAATTTTTTTATTGTATTTTATGTCTATAAACATAAACCTCATATGTTCTCTGAAGTTTAATTCATAAAAGATCAACTTCAAGATAATTTTCCAAAGTCTCATTTGTGGAAATTAAAGCTACAATATTTAGTCTTGACTTGGAACTTATATAATGTTCTAGAGTCTAGTTTGCCGAAAGTTAAAAAGTGACTCGAACATTGTTTTAGTTAAAAAAGATTGTCATTTTTGTATTAAACTTTAGTATCTCACTTGTCAAATATATTAATTTTGAAAATCACTTTATTATATTCATGCTAAAATTACAAATTAAATTAATCCAACAACTAAAATTCAAACTGAAAACTAGTAGATATATTATCCATGTGATGTGCTATGAAAATATGTAATGCAACCAAAGGAGTAAAGAACAAATCAAATGTCTCATAGCATATCAGAGGAGTAACTTCTCCTGTTAATCTCGTGAGTATTTCGTAAACGAAAATACAACAACAAAGGGTGGATTTCATCACCTGATCTGAGAGATTTCTCAGGTGACAGTATTCCACCCCTCAATTATAAAGCTAGCTAATGTAAACCCTATAACCGATCGATCGGATCATCAGGATTGACTTCAAATTTCCCCACTTGCAATGATCTAATAACCATTTCTTGGAGGATAAAACCCTATTGCTTCTGACGCATATTTTGCACTCTGGAATTGTCTCCTTAAAGCATTTTCTCCCTATTAATTAGTAGAAATTCAACATCAAAAATCACAAACTTAATTAATAATTTCTTCTTTTATTTAACATTCACGCACCTGGATATACGCAATTGCAAGCTCAACGCGCCTGTTAGAACCTGGAAACACTTTTACTCCGTCACTGAAAGCCAAAATAAAATTCCACAGACTTCTTTTATCCGTGAAATTCACAAATGCATAACCTTTGATCCTATTCATTCTGCAAATGGAAAAATAAAAGAAAAGCTAATAGTACTGAAGTTGCTCTGCAAATAACAAAGGCAAATACAAGTAATCATAAGCGAAGACATGGATATTTTCTCCATTTGAATATCTCGCTTTTTCATTCTCCTGTAAGCAGAAATCGTCTAGAAATCGTATCATCAATTCACGGCTGTAAAGGAAAAAATTAAATTAATTAGATAATGATATGGAACTATTAAAATCTTGTTTTAATCAACTTCCAAATAAGGCAAAAGGTAATATGAACATTTAAAGAAGCAAAAAATTATAAATTACTTGTAGTGAAATGGGATATTCTTGATCATGACAGTAGTTTCGTTATCAGGTATCCATTTCTCCACCCATCGTTGTCTAGGAGGAATACTCCGACGTCGTCGCACATTCTCCTGCGGCGGTGAATCGACGGTAGGAAGAGGAAGAAGCGGTGGAAGCGCCGGCGGATATGGATGCGGTGGAAGCATCACCGGCTGAAATTGATACCTTGGAAGCATCACCGGCAGAAATTGATACCTTGGAAGCATCACCGGCAGATATTGACGCATTGGAAGCAGGCGCGGCAGCACATACATAGGACGACGCGGTGGTGGTGGCGGTGGCGGAGTGGGAATAGGGATATATTCTGGTGGATGCCGCGGGTTCAACGAACTCTCAGGAACATCAGCCATGGAAGATTAATTGATAAAGCTGGTAGTGATTTGAAAAGAAGTGTTAGGTTAACTGTTTCTTTTATAGGAAAAAAAGGAGAGAGAAATTGAGAATTGAATATATAGTGAAGGAAGAAATGAGACTATTCCCCTTTACTGGAGGCTGAGTTTAGTCTGAATATAAAAATGGAAATACTTTTATCGGAATGAAGTTTTATGCAATATGAATTTGAAATGATAAAATTATACCGTGTCAATTATACTTTGAACTATTGTATTTATACTCAAAGTGAAATAATAAGGTACTTTATGACTATTACAATCATTGAATTAAGAGCTCTACTACTCACCTCATTTTGTTCCTTTATGGTTGAGTTTAAAATCTAGTTATTCCTTTTTTAAATTATTGATTTACAAATAATGAAATTGTAGAATATAAATAATTCAACAATTTAGTAAATCCAAATGTTAGTAATGATGATGCAGAAGAAGAGAAAAAAGATAAGGGAGAATTCTATATCTTGATTGGTCAGATAATATCTTAGTTAATTATTGTATTAATTTCTTAATTACATTGTTCATAAGCTTTTCAGTTGTAACTAATTTAACTAACTATAGAATAACAAACCTAACTAATTGATTACACAGTTAGTTACTCTTAGCCTCTTTTAATTACTTCGCTCAACAAAAACAATTAACTCTCTCTATTACAAATAGATATAAAATTAAACTGATTTTCATTGTATATTATTTTTCATTAAGCCCAATTTGCCGAAAGTTAAAGCTCCAATTCTTTTAACTTAAAAAGTGACTCGAACATTGTTTTAGTTAAAAATATTTTGTCATTTTTGCATTGAACTTTAGTATCTCACTTGTCAAATATATTAGAGTAATTTTGATCATCACTTTATCATATTCATGCTAAAATTCAAAGTGAAAACTAGTAGACATATTATCCATGTGATATGAAACAGAGGAGTAAAAGAACAAATCAAATGTCTGATAGCAAATCAGAGGAGTAACAGCCCCTGCTAATGGTGGATTTCGTTAACGAAAAATACAACAACAAATTAAAGGGTGGATTCCATCACAATTGATCGATCGGATTATCTGAGAGGTGACAGTATTCCACCCCTCAAAGCATGCTAATCTGGAGTGACTTCAAATTTCCCCACTTGCAATGATCTGAGAACCATCTCTTGGAGGATAAAACCCTATTGCTTCTCTCCTAAATCTTGCATACTGATATCGTCTCCTTAAATCATTTTTTCCCTGTTAATTAGTAAAAATTCCACATCAAAAATCACAAACTTAATTAACAATTTCTTCTTTTATTTTTTAAATTTGACATTCACGCACGTACCTGGATATACGCAGTTGCAATCTTAACGCTCCTTGCAGAATCTGGAAACGCTTTTACTCCGTCACTAAAAGCCAAAAAGAATTTCCACAGAGTTCTTTGATCGGTGAAATTCACAAATGCATAGCCTATGATCCTATTCTTTCTGCAAATGAAAAAATTAAAGAAACGCTAATAGTAATGAAGTTGCTATATATATATACATCGACTGCAAATAAAATAATTACACGAGATTATTACTTGAAATGCAAAGGCAAATACAAGTAATCATAAGCGAAGACATGAATATTTTCTCCATTTGAATCTCTCGTTTTT